GTTTTATCACAGCAACAAAAAAACAACGAATTTAAGATTTTTAGTGTGTACAAAGGTTGTGTGAATCTTTCTGGTAAAGCATGAGCATTCATCTCTTGATTCTAGCAGATAGGGCACCAATGACAGATCCAATAAATTATCCAGACAGGTCTAATTTATTGAACTAAGAAGGTTATTATGATTACTTACAGGATCATGGTGTTATGGGTGTGGGTCACTCAGAGATTCACCTCTCTGATCATTAATAAATTTTAAGAAAGCAAAGGCATTTATTCACATACTACCAGCAGATATATACCTGAGACTTGGGGTTCCCAAAGGCAGACCAAAGACACCTCAATCAGAGAATTTTAAAGGCAGAGTACCTAACATTACACTCTATCTTCAGGCAAACAGAAGGTCATCTGGTACCCAGCAAGCCTTACTTTACAGAAATATGCAAAGAAGTTTTGTTAAAGCTGTGCAAGACTAGGCATTTACAAAAATGAACCATTAGCAGGCTTTAACATTTCAAGTCTAATATCACATTATAGTTTGATTTCTGTCCAAAGGAAAAGTGAGAACCATAGCATTTTAAGTGTAGGAAATCCACATTAAGATCCATATCAGAATAATGACAAATGGCACCAAAGTTAGAGACTTCTATCCTATGATTACAGCAATTCTTTCACTGCGTCTATTAATTTTTGCTTCCAAAAGAGCTGTGGTCTTTACAGAAGAATTCCTCATATCTTTCTTTGAGAACTCATAGGGTACCAACAATCTTTGATCTCAGCTTGTCATTTCATAACTCCCATGCACACACTGATATGCGTGGAGGCTTCCTTGGGCTGTGAGGAGCTGGTCCTGATAAATTGCTTTTTGAAGATCCACTGATCAAATTCTGTGCATGTCACATTCTGCATTTATTTTCCTTCAGGGTCCTAGAAAGAGGCAAATGTTGAGTGCTTTTATATGAACATATTCTTGTGCAGTATAAGGGGATGTAGGACATCCTTCGTGCGAAAGTGTGAGTTCATGAGGATCTATCTCTTCCAAATTCTTTTCACTTCAGACCCTTGGTCATTGATGCTGCATTTTTAGAGGAGAGGAGTAATTAATAACACCTAAGAAAGCACTTCTGCATGCTCCTTTCAAATACCAATTTATTAAGGAGTGATGCGGTAAAACCCATGGTTTCTCTTCCCCCACACATGAGAACCAGACGTTCTGTATCTCTATTTTCCAGCCCCATCTCTTTCTTCCTCTATGCTCCTAGTTCTCTCTTTAGTGCTCTCTCTTTCATAAAACCTTTTTCTAGGTATTAGTCTGCTTTAAATGTGAATATACAGTGAAGATTTAGTCACTGCTCTGAGAGCTGAGGGAAAGAACAAGGGCTCAGCTGTTCTCTCTGCAAAGACCCACATCAGTGTCTCTGTCCTAGGTCAAGTAAATGAAGATCACACACCTGTATTCCTCCAGGTTCAGTTTCTCATGCTACTCAGATGACACTCATTGCCTTCTTCCTGCTGTACATTCCTTTTTGCATGGCACCAAGAATGGATGAGGAAAATGAGCACGAAAATGATCATGTAGAATGACAGTCTAATCAGAATATACAGGAGCCCATGATTATCTGATGGAACATATGAATGCAATAAATATGATGACAATCATAAGATCCCTGTAATAGATTGCCTAACATTTATTGATAGATGGATAACTAATAGATTATTATTCTTTAGGACAAGATTGTGATGAAGACGCTACTATTCTCATTCTTCTAAATGCACACAGTATTAAACTGGCTCCTATGACTTCACTTTAGATCCCTATTTTAATGCATCTCTCAAACCTCAGCAAGGAAGTTTATATTTGCAATATATGGTGATCAATACAGGTACCCACAATAGCCAAAGTGCAGTGCAACATGAATCTTAAATAACCTTATTAATAAAAAACAATCCTGGAGTCTGGTATTGGGGTGATCGCTGGAAGATCAGAGAAGCAGAACAAGCCACAGCTTCCTCACCTTGCCAATTCCTCAGCTGATCTTGTTTCCTCAGACTGGAAGTTTCTGAGTCCTCATCCAAATGAATCTCAGCTGAACTGCTGCTCAAAGCCTACAAGCTTAACCAGCTCTAGTTCCTGGTCCTCACGCCTTATATACGTTTCTGCTTTCTGCCATC